AAAATAAAAAAATAAAAAAAAAATAATCTCTGTAATACTCCCTGGACACTGGACCATTGCTGGACTCATCATCATCACATCACAATAAACAGGAAACTAGGTTACTAAGTGTGAACAAAATCTAATTTACAAAGGAGCAGTTGATCAGATGTTAGCAATCTTAAGCCAAACCAGTTATCATGTCTTTTTACTGTTTTGTTTTAAATTCGTTTCCTGAGAATACAAGATTTTTGTAACTATTTTAATTCAATAGTTTCCAGTAACTTTTAAACCCTGAATGATTTCAGGCAAATCCAAGAAAAGGGCAAAGGCCTCAAAGACATGATTCTACAAGCCTCTTAAGAATTACTGGTTGAATAGATGAGAAGGACCTGTTAAAAGAAAATCGGTGGAATTTCCACTCTCATCTCATTTCGCAGCAGCCAAGTGATCTATCAGTAGGCAGACAGCTGTGGACTAGTCACCACAGGAGGATGGGACAGTCTTACAGTGGATGGCAGTAGTGAGTGAGAAGATGCTTAGAGTTATGTATGGGAATCATAGGAACTGGATGTACTGTGTGTGACTGCGAATACAGAAAGGACCTTATTGGAGTATAAATTCTGAGAGAAAATGAACAGCAAATATTCTTGCACTGAATTAGCTAATGAGTTATATAAATGAGGCTGGATAGTAGACACCTCACTGGCACAGAACAGAGCTAATGACTACTTCTGGGTTGTGAGCTTATATTTTCAGAGGTAACTGGAATACCCCCATACAACATTCATATTTAAACATGGCTGTCAACTTTTCATACGACATTGTAAAAGTGTGGCCAAACTAATTACGAATATACATCATTTCACACTTTGTCTATATACTGCCATGAAACAACCAAGCCTCAACAATCAAGCTTTATAAAAAATGTTTTAAACTATGACATGTATTTAAGCTGCTTTATTCTGAAAAACTGAGATGTATCAAATACCAAAATCTACAAATGGAGTACCAGGGAAATCATCTCCTTGTAAAATTAGACCCTACACACAATAACTAAAGATCTACACACTGTCCGGAGTGTAATCATTAGCACTTGATGTATAAAACATGTCAGTGGAAGCTTCTGCCTAGTGTGATGCTCTTGATGCAATCAGAATCTATTCATCAACAAAGCAAAACATGCAGAATCTATTCATTTTAAACATCAGAAAATTCTGATGTAACTCAAGGCTGATAAAAGTGTCATCAGTAGACAGAACATTTTCTATCAGATTACTGAAATACATTTATGATTATGAAATTAGGGCCCTCAGCCATCAACTAAGTAGATCCATCAGTGATAAAACTAACATGAACTGAGAGATCCTGATTATTGAAAAGCAAAAACCTTCCCAGGCACAGCACTGTCTGTCAGCTTACATTAAATAGATAGTTAATTTATAACTGGACTCTCCAAAGAAAGGAAATTCGCATTGATGAAGGAAAAAAAAAATCAGTATTGTACAAGATGCACTTAAGTAATTGATAAGCAAAATGTATTTGAGGTTTCAGGTTATTCTCCTGCTGCCCTCGCACCCCCTTGC